TCAACCATAGGAACAAATGATTTGAATCTAAATAGAAGTCTCCTTAATTATTGAATTAGTGATTTTTGTTGCTTTAGCTTTAGTTATTTAGTTTAAGTCTTAACAACATATTTAAGTTTCTAGTCTTGTAAAACTAGAGAAAACCCTACTTTCTATTACTTGTTCCTAGATAATATTAGTAATTAGTTTAATTTCCGTTCCCTGAGTTCGATACCCTACTTATTTAACTATACCACAATTGATAGGTCCACTGCTTTTGTGTGTCTAATTCATAATTAAAAAGTAGGATAAAACTTAGTTCGTTTCACACACATCACCCTTCCCTTTCGTACCGGAAGTAATTGAAACCACAAACATAACTGTAAGTACAAAGCTTAGTGAATTTCCCTAAAATACCACATAAAACATACATATGAATATAACAACACGTGGCTGTGTCGGGTCCGTATCAACCCCGTGTCCATAATGACTCCATGTAACAACATATAGCTGTGTCGGGTCCGTATCAACCCTGAGTCCATAAGAACTCCAATCCCAGATTGGATTCATGCATTTAACATAAAATCATAACAACATCAGTCACATAAACACATACATCATACACATACATTCTACTATGGGCAGATATTGGTGCCTTCAACCCATCAGTGTAGTGAGAAGACTCACCTCACCGAAAATGCCCAACTGCTACAACTGTCACTGACAGAGCACCACTGCTACACACCACAAGGGTCCAAAAGATTGCTAACATAGAGGATGAGGACTAGCTTTCTAATCTTATTTCTTATTTTTTCTTCCTTCTAAGTGTAAGATTTGGTTTTGAGGCACTTCCATTGTTGACCCTTATATTGAGATTTATTGCATTATTGGTCCCTAAGTGTAAGAATGTGGGAAAAAGGGGTCATGGTAGCAATTTGGTAAAATTGGGAATTCTGAATATGCCATGCGTACGTGTGTGTACGCTAAGCGTACTTAGGCGTACCTTAGTATGCTGGGGGTACACCTCGTACGCAGGGCGTACATGGTTGGCATGCAAACCCTAATTTTAGGGCTTTGGTTCATATTTAAGCAACTTAATGGACTCAAACCCTCTTCTTATCCAACTTCCTTCTGTGAGTTCGACCTTCAAGCAACCTTAGAGCAAAAGAGAGCCGTTTTGAGCCTTAAAGTGAGTTTTTGGAGTGGTAGAGAAGAAGGTGGTGAGAAGATCTTGGAGTTGGGGACACTTTGGATCTGGGACTTCTTCTTGGTTTGCAACATCTTGAAGGTATAAAACTTGCATCTTTACCACTCCATTTTGTAGATCTTGGTTTTTCTCTTTAAAGACACTTTTTGGTCCCAAAATGATGATTCATGAACAAAGCATGTTCTTGACCCATTAAGCTGTCCTTTCAGATCCTTGGAAGGGTCGTGAGTCATAAAAAATGGGTTTCAAAAGAATGTCTTAATGGATTAAGAAGTTGATATAAGCACCTAATGGGCGTGCAAAGTTATAAATTAGGAAACTTTATGACTCTTGAGTGTGAATTAGCCATGGATCTGAAATATGGACGGGAGTGCTTAAGCCATTAAGCACTTATTGAGTTTTGAAGCTTCTACTAGTACGTCCAGTGTACCTTCGGAGGACGCCCCGTGTACTCATTTTGAGGTGACTCGGCTGACTCTGTTGATTTGACTAGTTTGACTTTGAATTTGACCAAGTTTGACCTAAGGGTATTTTGGGATTTTGATTTTGATTGGTCACTTGGATGGATAGGTGTTGGTTGGAGCTGAGATTCGGAGTCGGGACCTCATCAGCTATGGATCAGATTGAGAGGTGAGTTTTCCTCACTGTACTTGCAGGTCGAAGGCACCAAGGCCGACCCATTAAATTAGATATCCCGCTATGTGATAGTATGTTATTGTGTTGTGGTGATCTGTTATATCGGTATCCTGGTATATAGGATGATGCTATGCTTAGTGATCGATAGATCTACCTGTTATCCGTTTTCTGGATATGTGTTTATCTATTGTATATGTCGCCGTAGTGTGGGTGGGTTGAGACCGTACTGCTTTCTGCTCACAGTCAACAAACCCGATAATGTTTATATCGGTATGTTGTTATGGTTTACTGGGCTTATATGTTTATCGGTTATGTATATGTCGACATGTTGTGTGTGGTTGGGTTGAGGCGGACCAGAGTAGACTAAAGGCCAAGAGACCCAGGGCGTCCCGGATAGACTACAAGCCTGAGAGGCGTACCAGTCAGGTCAAAGGCCCGGAGAACGTTCCAGATAGGCTGAAGGCCCAGTGAGGCGTTCCAGTCATGTTGAAGGTTCTGTGAGCGTTCCAGATAATCTGTAGGCCAGTGAGGTGTTCCAGTCATGCTGAAGGCTCTGTGAGCGTTCCATATAGTCTGTAGGCCGGTGCGGCGTTCCAGTCAGGCTGAAGGCTCTGTATGCATGTTGTTTGTTATTATGTTTATGTGGTGGTACTTTGGGGAAACTCACTAAGTTTCGTGCTTATAGTTTTTAGTTTATGGTTTCAGGTACTTCAGAGGACCGTGGCAAGGCGAAGGCGTGACCATACACATCCTTGGTTTTACAACTGATTGGATCTTGGGAGACTCTGATTTTATATGATGTTTTGAAAACAATGGTTTTGTAACACTTCTATTAGTAAAAGCGTTATTTTGAAAAGTTTAAATTTGTTGAATTTTCGGGAAGCTACACTAAGGCTTCAAGAACACCAACAAAAGAACAAAGTGAGGGATATAGAGATTTAGGTTTTCACAGGTCTGATGGAGGCTGATGGAGGATGAGGGTGAGCAAACCCTAGCCTCCTCATTCCTTTAAATAGGGAGCAAAACCCAAAAAAATAGGGTTTCTGAATTTCCAGCTGCCACGCCATGGCCTAATACTACCACGCCATGGTGGCTTAAATGGAACACGCGTCTAATCTTAATTTGCCACATCGTGGTGCCTCTCCACCACGTCGTGACGATCCAGAAAATGCCAAATTTGCAAAATATAAAGTACCTTGGGATCCAGACGTTATAATCCTAAATACTCATAGGATGATCATAGGGACACATTTCGGATGCCAAACTGTTAAAAAAATTGAAATAAATTTTTTAAAAATGAAATAAAATGAAAAAAATAAATTTGTTTACATTTTTCCGTTACACTTTATTTCCAATTTTTCTTTTAAAACATAAAAAATAACTAAAACACCATTAATGTGTAATATTCTAACATTATGTGTATACAATATTATTCATCAAAATATTTCATTTGTAATAGTGTTCTATAATATTACACATGATATTACATATGTGTAATATACAACTAAAATATTAAACATGATATTACACATATGTAATATTGCAGTAGAATATTACATATTACATATTTTTATGAACAATATTCTATATATAAAATATGACACATGGAATCTTAATGTAAATGTAAGCCTTATTTTAAGTCAATGATAAATTTTCCCATGAATATAACATAATTATCCCAATCATGTGAGCCACATAAAACCTTTTCCTTTTTATTTTTCTTCGCAACATTTGATAATGCATTTGTCATACAGAAGAGTGGATATGAACATCACACATTCAAACCCTGAGTACGATTCATGTGTGGATATATATATATATATATATATATATATATATATATATATATATATATATATATATATATATATATATACACACTAAAAAAAATTTAAAAATATATTAAAATTTACGGTTTTTAATTCAATATAATATTAGTATAAAATATATTTTAAAAATAATAAAAAGTAAGGTAAAATGAAATACGAGTATTTTCTGGGTTTTGAAGAGTAACGAAAGAGTGGTAAAAAATGAGGTAATGCTTAGATGACACATGACAAATCCTCTCTAATAAATGAATGTTTTTTTGCTATTTGTCACACTCTCATTCAATTTGCCAAATGTCATTTTGTGATTATTTTGAATTAATTCTTTTTCCACATATCATTTTATGAATTTTTCTATTTTATTAAATTTCACATGTAATAATTGCAATAAATGTATTAATAAATGGATATCAATTTCATTAATGAACTTATTTTTTAATTTCAAAATTTCAAAATTAAAGCTCATTAACTTCTTTTAATAATTTTAAATTATTTGTTTAAATTTAAAAGATAAAAAACGTTTCTATTATAATAATTCATTATTTTTCTTAATTTCTTATAAATTCAAAGTTCTCAAATATTTTGATCTTTATATTTAAATTTTTTTAAATTAACACATGTATTACATAGGTTTCACAATTAGTGAAATATAAAAAATAATAAACTTTTGGTTATCAAAAATGTGAAACAAAGATGAAACTGTGGGTGGACGATGGAGATGGGTAGAGGTCTTTTTATTTATTAAAAATATAATATTAACAATAAAATTCCGTATTTATTTGAGCATTTAATCTAAGTTAGCCTTTTGATGGAAATTCATATTAAGAAACATCAAACTTACGGTGAAATTGATTGCATTACATTTTTTCACAGCGGTGGAACAAGTGTTAGCAAATGGTTTCTAGTTCAGCGGTATCCGATGGTTCATTTTCTCCTTTAAGGTTGAGGGTTCAAGTCCCGTTGTGGACATATGTGAAATTAAGGTGTAATTTAGGTAGGAATAGACTAGATTTGCCGTTAAAAAAAAAGTGGAACAAGTGTTAATAGTTTATGTACTTCTGTTTGTATAAAAATTTGTTCCCGGGATGCTCGTTGAAATATTGCGAGTAGGCTTCCACTTAATTCGTTTACCGTTTTAAAAAAAACATCTTATTATGACAGAGTAACAAAAGCACATTTATATTCATATTATTATTAGTAGTAGTAGTACATTGCCCAATTATTTATAGATTAGAACGGGGCTATTTCCATTTGTTGGAAATAAACACCGGAAGGGCCATCGTCCGGCAACAAAGCAACCATTACAGGAGCTCTAGCACCCTCTTCTACTTTGAGGAATCCTGTATGAATTGTCATATCTGTTTCAACATAACCAGGATGCACACAATTAATAATAAAATTAGGAAATTTTTTCGCCAAAACCCGTGTGTAAGCATTAACCACTACTTTCGAGACTTTATAAGCAGAAACTGTTAAAGGCCACCCATTCTCCTGCAACTTAGAGGCCTTAAAGTCCCTCAAAAACCACTCGATAATCTCTTCAATCCTCTCTTCACTTACATTTTGCATATCTCGTAGCTCTTCTTTCAACTTCTCATTGTGAAGATACTGAAAAACAGGAAGATTAAAGTTGAACTTTTTCTGTTTTCTAATATATGGTTTTTAACGTAGTTACTGATTACTTACACTTAGCTCTCCGTAAGTGGAGGTAACATTGACGATTCTTGGTGAATTGGAGAGCTGGAGAAGTGGTATAAGTGCTTCCGTTACACTTTTAGTTGCAAAGTAATTTGTTTGCAAACACTCTTCACCTAGTTCGTATGGTTCCTCAATGACTTCCGCAAGAAGATGCGCATTCTCATCGAGCACTTGCACCTAATCAAAGAATACATATAATATTGTTCATAATTTGTAGATTAAAACTGAAAGCTTTTTAGATTCAAAATTTTACGTTTAGGTAGTTGATACATGTATCATAATCACTTCTCTAATGAGTCGAATGACTGCCATATATGAAGAAGGACTTGCATGCATAGAAAATTACTTACAAATCCAGCACCGGCTTTGAATTCTTTTTCATGCATAATAATTCCAATTAATGCTGCATTATTGATCTGCACATGACGTTTAGATTTTCTTGAATCGCAAAAAATCAATAATTTAAGCAGAATCACACTGAAATTAACTGTACTATTTTACCTTGAAATTGACTTTGAATTGTAAATGTCATTTTATTCTATTTTAAACATGGTGAGACAAGAAGAAAGCAAGTTAAACTACATGGCTATGATATTTTCCTTACCAAGATATCAAGTTTTTTGAAATCGGTTTCAATGAATTTAGCTAAACGTTCGATGCTTCGTGGATCATTGATATCAAGTTGATGGAAGACAATATTTGGAAGGCCAGAATCATGGAGTTTCTTGACAGCTTCTATCCCTCGACTCTCGTTCCTAGCTGTTAATATAACTTCAATTCCATTTACAGCAAGCTGACGACATATTTCGAATCCAATTCCTTTGTTTCCTCCCGTAACAACTGCACATCTGAAATTTTAAACATAAAAACTGAATTAATTTTGCATTTAGATCTTATGAATTGGTAACAAGATAACATTTGATGAAGAGATGAGATATACCGTTTCTTTTCCATTGGCTCATATGAATTGGGTTAGGGATAAGAAAACGAAACCAACCTCTTTTATAATGCATCAAATATCAATAACCGATTTTTCATTAAAAAATATATTTTTAGTATTATTTGAGTTATACTTATACATATCGTTTTTTTAGCCAGAACACATAAAACAGATGATACCCGGCCCATTCGGTTTAATTTTCTTCACGTAATCACGTCTGTTTCAATCTCTGTAGTATTGATAATTGATTGTATTTAACTCATCGGATATATAAATTCATTACACATACTGACATACAAACTTCATGTGTTATATATATCAAGGTCAGACTCTATATAAAAAACATAACTAGTCAACTTTTTTTTTTTTGAAACCTGTATTATCATAATCAAACTTTAAGAGCTTATAAATACATTTGTAATCAAATTAAAGAACAATATAAAATAAGAAACCAGTTACCTATCTCTGTTCTAATATCCCTATTCTAATAAAAGAATAGTTTTATTCTCCTTTTGTCATGTGTCATCCTATTAGGACTTCTAATTAATATCATGCCACTTGTCAACCTATTGATTCTCCATTTTAAATTTTAAATTTTAAATTTCTCACTCTAATTACATTAAATTAATAACATTAGAATAAAAATTAAAATTAAATTAATACAAACTATAAGGTAATATAATTACACGTATTTATTTAAATCAACGATTATAATTTTATATAACTAAAAGAATGTCTTAGTTAATAATTTATTTAAAGTAATTGATTAATAATTTTGAATTTTATTATGAAAGTTTAATTAATTTTGTAACCGTGGTTCCCACGGGTAATAAACTAGTACAATAATATATATTTAAATTAACGGCAACAACTAACCAAGCAAAAGAGTAGACATTAAGTAATTATGGAAACTTTTCTATATTTGGTAAAAACATTTTTATTTTATTTTATTTTTTTGAATGGGCAAATCTAATATGCTCTAAGCTAACACATAATTCCACATATGTTTACTACGGGACTTGAACCATCGATCTCAAAAAATAAAGGTTCCACCTAATACTACTGTTGAAACACTTTGATGGTAAAAAAAAACATTTTTGTTCATACATATTTATCAAACACATTTGGTCATTGATCTCTTTGTATATCTTTTTTATGGGGTCTATTTGTTCGTACACATGAGGTCAAACATTGCTTTACAACATGACTGCCAACATTTATATTTCCCTATCTCATCTCAATGAGATATTCTAGATGTATGTCATTGTTGTTGTATAATGTTTTTACTTTGATGTATTTTACAAAATATAGGGTCAACCTGTTAATTTTGAAAGCCCTGTATAAAGAGTTAAAATGGGCCATAATATTTAATTCGGGCTTTGCCTCGGACCGTTTTTTGTGTTTTTTATGAAAAAATATAAAAGTTTTGACTGTAACGACCAAAAAGTATCAAAATGGCTAAAGAATTAAAGGGGTTGGAATTAGCAAGTTTTTCGAAAAGAGACCAAAGTTGTCAATTCCTTAAAGTGTTGTGGCCAAACTTTGAATATTAAAAGGTTCCTAAAAAATGTAAATTTATTTATTCCACTGACCAAAAGTGTCAAAACGGCTAAAAAATGAGGGACAAAGTTGGCAAAAAAAACATGCAAGTTCACTATTAGTAAGGGAACATTCTTTATATATATATATATATATATATATATATATATATATATATATAGGGTTGAGATCCGTTGAGAACTCATAGTTTCCCGAGAACCTGAGAACTAAAGGTGAAGCGTTAGATCAAAATTAATTCATTAAGGGCATGATCATCATCTTACTGATATAATTTAATGTTTAATTTCTTTTTCTTATTGGAAATATTAATAAAAAGTTCTAAAAATTAACATAATAAATCAAATTTCGGATTTAAAAAAAAATAATAATTTTCGATTTTTTTTTAAAATGGAGATTTTTTTATTTTTTAATTGAAAAAAAAATATTTTTTAAAAAACTGCAATTTAAAAAAAAACTGCATTTAAAAAAAAACTGTATTTTTTTCAAAAACAAAATTGCAATTTTTTCAAAAAAACTGTAATTTTCTTAAAAAAAAATTGTATCTAAAAAAAAACTGTAATTTTTTCAAAAAAGCTGCAATTTTTTTTAAAAAGTAAATTTTTAAAAATCAATAAATTAAAAAAAAAAACTGGAATATTTAAAAAAAAAAAAAACTCTAATTTTTTTAACAAAAAAATCAACGTTTATATATATATATATATATATATATATATATATATATATATATATATATTTCAAGTACATATATATCTTTCTTATACTATAATATTCGTAAGTAAACATATAAAAAATCCATTTATATTTAATAATATATAAACACAATAATACGAGTATTTTATTCGATACAAAATAAAATATAAAAAAAACAAAAAATACAACAAAATTTCAAAGCGTTTGTATGTCTTCGTGTTCCATATTTTCTTTAATTTATCACTTTTCATCTCTTCAATGTTTTCCACAAATTCTTCCAAATCTACAAGAAAAAAAAATGATTAATGCAAGAAAACTCACAAAAATACATGTGTGCATATAGACGTAATTTATATGTGGTTCACTAATGATTTATATGCAAATCACATGTAATTCATATGAAATTTACTTGTGAGTTACATGTGGTTAGCATGCGAATTACATGTGAATCACATGTAATTCATATGTGATTCACTTGTGATTTACTGTGAATTACATGTGAATCACATGTAATTCATATGTGAATCACTTGTGAATTACATGTGATTTATATGTAAATTACATATGTATCACATGTAACTCATATGTGATTCACTTATGATTTACATGTGAATTACATGTGATTTACATGTGAATCACATGTAATTCATATGTGAATCACTTGTGATTTACTTGTGAATCACATATGATTCACTTGTGATTAAATGTGAATCACATGTAATTGATATGTGATTCACTTGTGATATATTGCTAAAATGAAACAAATTAAAATAAACTATATGGTTAGAAAAAATAAATAATTAATATGATTTACATGTGATTCACATGTAAATCACAAGTGATTTATGAAGCTTAATATAAAAGCAATTAAAATAAACTATATGGTTAGAAAAAAAATAATTAATTCACATGATTTACATGTGATTCACATGTAAATCACAAATAATTCACATTCAGTTGTGAATCACAAGTGATTCACATGTAAATCTCTTTATTCATCATCATTTTTCTATATAAAATTTTTGATATTATGTGAGAATTACCTGAAATCCAACAAATCTGCAATTGTAGAAAGCTCTCACGACTATAGCTTGATAGGAACCTGAATGGAAAAATTTGAATGATATTTGTGACACATCACACATACATTCAATGAATCTGTTTGTAGTTTCTACTCTTGAAGAATGGAAACCCCCCCCCCCCCAAATCATGAGATTATAAGTGTATCTTGAAGGAATAGATCTTTCTTGAAATGAGGCCTTGACACCTGTCACCAAGAGTAGGGTTTCAAACAATTTTGCAAAAAAAAAGTTATTTTTAACTTTTTATAATAATCTTTAGCTGGTTTTAAGGTTTACTTGGTAAAAGAATGGGCTTTGTCTTTCAACAGCTAAAACAAAATCATATTTGGAAAAGCTTTGAGTTCCTCCATTATATAAATTTTCTGAAAATTCACTTGAGGAAGCACGTGACATGTCATACTCATAGGGTTCATTAGGGTATAATTTGTTCCATGTTTCTTCTGCTTCCTTTCTTGATGTTCTTTGATTAATAGAAGAGACAACATTAGAGTTGTCAAGAATACTTCCATAGAATTTTTTCATAATCTGATTTGTATCTAACCTGTAAAAAAATATATCAAGAACATAAAGTTTTTTACAGAAATTATCATTGGAAAAATGAGTATTTGTTTCATAATCATATACCAGATTAAGTCCGTGACAATGCCAAATCCATTCACAATCAAGAGGAACAACTAAAGGTCCTTCAGTGATTTAAGACTCTGAATGTTTAGCAAGCAATGGAAGCCAACATGCATTGTACCTGAAGTTAGTTTTTTTTTCATTAAATTATAAGATTTTGTTACTAAAAAAGTAATAATCAGTTGAGTTACCTATAGATTGCCCATTGCAATGTCTGGCCTTGATAAAGCCAACAGTTTCTGTCTACAACTGCAAGAAATTGCAGCTAAAGCTTAGCACAGTCAAAAGATCTTCACTGATAAAGATACTATGTGCTGCATTCCATTCAGACTCCTGTTCTGTGTCCATTTTGATACACACCTAGAAATCAAGATGAATACAAGTAAGAAATCTATTGATTTTTTTCAATATAAGATGAGTGTTGCTACCAATGTGAAAAACTCTAAAAGAGCCCCACCAAATCCAAAAATAGGCCTGTAACTACAATTAAGATAAGAACAGATCAAAATTATCTTACAAACCACTTTTTCTGTACTTATGACATAAAGCATGACTTAACAGAGAAAGTAAATGTGGATTTCCAAGTTAACCTCTAATAGTTAACAAATATTTCCCTAATTTGGCATTGTAGCATCATCTTTAGTGATAGCTGGTCAACAAAATCTTGCCAATCATTTGGTTTGGAAATATCCTCAGGTGGCAGGTCACAAGAACCATAGTCAATGGGATGAAATTACCAATACAGAAGCACAATTAACAAAGGTAAATGGTGAAAACATTCTTTGAAGCATTTCAACAAACACGTTGTGTGCTAAAAACAAACAAAAGATATTTTCCAACTCTGAACGGTTGAAAATCCCTCAAGGTGAAGGAAACTAATACAATATTCAAGATTAGAGAAAGAAAATAGAAAACAAGCAACGGTAGTTACAAATATGAGAATAAATGAAGAACACTTATCCTTTTCTCCTTCTGTTATCTAATCAGTAGTTGGCGCAACGACAGGGGAAGAAGAGAGATCTCGATCGTAATGGAGTAGTTCGATGATGATAGAGAAACAAGGGAGAACGGATGTGCAATAATGGCGGACAAACCGATTCAAATTCAAAGCATCTTCAGTGGTGTTTTTTCTATGAAGAACGTGAGATCAAGGAGTGTGGCGGTCGACAGAGGTA